GGAACTGCTGTAAACCTTAGGTAAAATTCCAGTTTATTAATTGTATCCAGGCTGGCTGATGACCCTGAGGCTATTTAGGAGTTCTCTTGTAGCAGGAATTGCCCTTGAAATAAAATGCATCATCCCAGGGAAGAATTATGTTATGCAACTGCCATTTCAGAAGAAAGCAAGCAAGAACACCTTTGTTTTTAACCTAAATATATGCCACAAGTAGAAGCTACCGAGAGCGAGTAAGGGTCTTAAATTCAGAGTGGGACCCGACTTCAGTTTTTGAGACTTTTTAAAGTTCAAAAATGAAAATGGAAGGCAACAGAATGACCCAGCTGTCTTGAGTTTGGCAGCAACTTGCTTGTCTTGTAATTTTTTCCCCAAAGTTCAACAGGCAATTCTGGGAGATCCATTTCCCAGCCCTGTCATTCCAAAGAGGTTTGCAATACTGCTGTAACACTGGTTTGGAAGTAGATTTTTTTTTTTTTTTTTTTCAATCCCTTTGGGACCTTTGCAGAAAGCCCCCGAAACAACAGCAGCTTTTGTTGTCCTGCCAAATATGACTTGATTAATATTATTAGAGGGGGAAGGGCAAATACAAAAATAATTTATAACACTTCTCCAGAGAATGTGCTCTTGCAACCTGCCCTGCTGTCAGGTCATTTCTTGGAATGCATACCGAAACCTGGAAAATCTATGGAGCATGGTCTTTATTCCCATTTGTTTATTCTGGGTCTCAAGAATATTTCTCAAATAGTCAAAGCAACAGGCTTTAAGTTAACCTTTTCACTGCTTAAGTATATGTAGGTTCATGCTTCCACCTAAAGAGAATAATATTCTAATAATGCTTTTAAATGCATATCTAAATATGACTGAGACTGTGCATGTGAAAATCATACTATGAAAATAAATTATACATACATCTAGAATTACATATATAAAAACCACACAACTGAAAAGTTTATTAGTGTCAAGCTCTTCAAAGTTAAGAAACACAAGAATTAAGCCTGCCTGCTTTCAACTGTCTTTAAAATATCCTTTCGCAGTTGCTTTATGACAGGCCTTATGTACATGGTCACAGTCTATTTCTTCCAGAGAATCCAAATTCCTTACAAAACAGAGAAAGGACAACTGTAACTATTTTTTTTCCTCTTCCTTGGTTGGCATTCGCTGTACAATACATATCTTCAGAGTAGAAGCATACTCTCCAAGGCAGCATTCAACTGCCTCTCCCATGAAACCATTCCTTCTTTTTCTACGGAAACAGATACTGAGTGTTCAGGACAGTGGGAGGAGAGAATGCAAGAAACAGGGCTATGCAAGTAACCTTAATTCTAAGCTGTAATTTTGAGCTTTTGACTTTGTCACCTTCATATTATTCTTGTAAAGCTGTGGAGGGGCCTTTTACATTTTTAACATAGTGAAACAAAATTTAAAACTGCTTCCTCATGTAGCATCATCCAAACATATGCTTGTTTCATATGCACTACAGACCTTTAACACCAACCCAAGTTGTGTAGGTGTAACTCCTAGATGGCCATCCTCTGTGAGAACTAACAGCCAGCAGAAATAGGATGCCTTTCTAGCATGGGTTTTAGAGACTTTTTTCTGTTCACAAGAAAGCATTCATGAGAGTGAAGAATACCAGACTCCATTCCAGATCCACATGATCTTACAGACATTAACCTTCTGCACTTTCCCCACAAGAACAGACCCTTTTGCACCATTCCTTTTAACATGTTCTGCTACCAGTCTTGTCTTATCCCTTTCTTCAGTACCCTCCCCAGTCTCCTGTCATTCACATCATCACTTTTATTCACAGGTTTCTCACCAAAATTACAATTTTTTTTTTTTATCTAGTCTTATCCACCTTTCAAGTCACACAACACCACTCCCTTTTTCCAACAAAGTCAACACCATGTCTCCAGTCTCCTTCACAGTCATTCTCAGTTCTCCTCCCATCAATGTTCTGCATATGGAACATCCATTTCCACTTATTTTAAAAAAATCAGTAAGAAAGCTGTATTTTTAAGCAGCCTAGGGAAAATTTCCCCTTCTTACAAGAAGGTTAGAATAAGAAAAAAAATCAAGTAAGTGTTTCAGTACTAAAAGAAACAGAAAACTACTACTTACTAGCTCAGTTCTTGTGAACTCCCAGCTTCAGCCATACTGATCAGTCCAATTCATCAGACACAGTAATGACTCATTTTTACCACAAACAATCAAAATGACCTGGCGGCATGATCCGAACCACCAATGACTAATTAATCTCCACTGTTTTTAAGCTGTACCAAATTCAAACTCTGCTGATCATCACTGTTCATCTTAGCACAAGTTCTGGCATCAGTACAAACCTTTGGGCATCAGAATCATTTACAGGAATTTCCTTACAGTGCTCCATTATGAGAAGAATAAGTAAGTGTGGCGTAACATAACTTCAAGTCAAAATTAGTACCTTCTGGAAGGCAAGAATAAGTAAGTGTGGCGTAACATAACTTCAATTCAAGTCAAAATTAGTACCTTCTGGAAGGACATGAATAAAATTGGATACAGTTATGAAAATATAGAATCTGTTCTTAATAGCAGAATTTAGCCCATGTTTGATGAGTATGCTCAATGCATTTTAATTTTGAGCAATTATTGCAAACTAAGCCCTGAGCCTACAAAAGGCAACCGCAGAACCTCACTGCAGCCAAGGAAACCTCACCCTAAAGAAACACCTTTCAAGATCAGGACTTAAAATGCTTTGATAAAACCAGCATAACCTTTCCAAGACATTGGAGACAAAATGAGAATGCTACCATTCTTTCAGACAGAAGGACATTCATATTAGAACTAACTCAACAGGATAAAAAGCTCAAAACCAGAGACCAGTTTGAAAAATTTCAAACTGAAGACTACTTAATTTGTAGTGAAGTACAGTAGTATTCACAAGTTCTTAATAGAAGCAGAACTTCAAAACCAAAATCTGAATAGTAAACCTTTCCCTTTTAAGAGGATCTCTGATCACAGAATAGTTTTCCTCCCTTACAGACATGTAACCAGATAATTCATCAAATTTTACCAAATATGATGAAAACATATTTGTTCTCTTACTATTATAAGCCCGTCATGGTTTTTGAGTACAGAGTTACCTCTGGAAATTATATCCCAAATTAAGGAAGAATCTAGAAGACTTTTAGAGAAAAACAAAAACTTGTGCTTTAGACTTTTAAGAATATTCTTATTAATCCAATGCATAGAAATCATGGCAAATTTGTCAAAATATGACCTTCTTCTCGTTCTCTTAAAAGAGCTTCATTCAGTAAATAAATGGATTTTCACATTTTGCTGGACGGAATTCAGCAAAACTTTGTTAATTGACAATGATTTTGACCAAGTTAATTTGAGATCATAACATTTTTTTCAGAAGTGAATAAAGACAAGAAGTTTTCTTGGTCTTCTCAATAACACAAGCATTGGATAAGTATCAAGTATTGTTTTGTTGTGTTTCCTTGTAGCTAGCTTATAATATTGCTTCATTCTCCACTTAGTGCACAAAGGGCAAGGATCACAGTAATAGTCTGAAACTTTATACACTAAAAATAGCTTTCTTTGGGTTCACAATCAAAACTGTTTTAACAAACAAGAGATCAGTTTGGCAGAGTATTCACAGTCGGTGACTTTGTAGCTCTTTCCTAATCTACAATTCAGCATTAGCTGTCTCTAGGCCCAAAATAGTGAATGTTTCAGCATTTATAAACTTCATTCTTCACATATCATTGACTACTCAGATAAAAAGGAGGACAAGGTTTATTTCTGTTGAATCCTGCCTGAAAGATATACCAGAAACAGCTGATGCAGAATACTACTACATCTCCTGTTCATTTGCACCCACCCACTGGTGGATATGCTCCTTGAAAATAGGATTTCTGATCAATGAAGGGAGTTCATGAAAGTCTCACAGAGAGAAGTTTTACCCTTCACACACAAATAATTGCAAAATGCAAGTCAGGAACTGCACAGTCCCAACAGCTAGTTTGTTTTCCTCTAACTTTTAACCTATCTAACTTTTGGAGGATAAATCCTGTGGGAAGCTTCTTCTTTTGATCACCTTCACATCATTGCCAATACCTTATAACATCCCCAATAAGAACTTCAATTTTTCTAGGCAACAACAGTAGAAAAACACAATGTACCTCCAACATTTGTCATTGTCCAAATTCTAGGAAAGAAAGAGAAAGGAACAAACCGAAGTAAAATTTTTATTAAAAGACCTCATCTAGTTATTGCTTGTACCACGAAGTCAAAGGAAAATGTTTACAACATTTATACACAATTCCAGCTCTGTGGATAACTAACATGTGATTTAATCTCTCTCCAAATTATTTTCTCATACACTACTGAAATTTTATTTCTGCCTAGACCCACTGGAGTTTTCAAAGAAAATAGTCATTCAAGCCTACAGGTCAGCAATCACAATTACTGGTAAGTCAGCAGAGCTGTCAGAAGTACTGAAACAATGACCTCAATTAAAAGCTTAGAACAGTTACTTTGTGAACAATGGGAAACCTGGTAGCTCACAGCTCTCTGCCCATAATGTGAGGAACATTTTTGTTCAGGCTTATTAGCAATCCTGTGCTTGCTAACAAAAATGCTCATTTAAAGCTGATACTGCACTCTCAATTCAGAGTAGTAAAGCCACTGGGCTATCTGGAGCACAGAACTGCTCCTTAATCTAAAGGCTCTCCTCCTGGAAGCCTTCTGTCACAGGTAGAGGGAAGTTTGTGAGGTTCTGTTTAGACATGGCAGTTCACCACTTCCCTAACATAAACAAAAGTTGCAGAATTGCACCCCAATATAGCAGACTGAGAAAGAAGGAAAGGAAGAGTGGAACAGAGTCCACATACCAACAGTAGAACATTTAGAATTTCCCCTAATCCTCCCTAACCCACGATCAGGTCATTTAAAGATTTAGAGTATAAGCCCCTGCCGTGTTTTCTCTATATATTGCAGAATTCAAGTGAAGTTACCTCATTAACTTGTTTTTTGTCCAAGTGAAAAACTTGACCAGAACTCGTTGAGGCAATTTCTTCATAGACCTTGTAACCAATATGATCCCTGTCATCACAGTCTCCAGTCAGTACAAATACTACCTGTATTTAAAAAAAAAAAAGAAAAAAAAAGAAAAAAAAAAAAAGAAAAAATCATTTGTCACATGGTGCAAACTTTGGGAAAACATGGCAAAGACCACATTAAAGCATAATAACAAGAGAAAACTGTATCATTAAGCATGGGTTCATGTTACTTTGCACAAAGGACAGGCACATTGCGCTCACTACTGATGGAAAGAGCAATGAAGAAGTAACAGACAAGCATCACTTTAGAAGTGATGCTCATCTATCAGCACTTGTACTTCACAGAATACTGGTAAGCTGACCAACAATAAATATGCTGGCAGAAGGTTCACTTGCACTATTTAATTCACAACATAGAAGAATTTTACCCTTCGATATTGAGAAAACAGGGCATTAAATACATAAGTCGCCTCAGGATGTAAATCCTCTCCATACCTGTGATTGTTTCTGTTGAATGAGTTGAAGTACTTCATGAGTAAGTCTATAATCTTTGGATCGTGCATCAGTAAATACATAGATGAAAGAACCAGGAAGAGAAATTTCTAGAGCAATCTTTATTGCCCCGATGCTCATCTCTGGACAGTCTCCACCACCCTGTTCACAATTAGAAGAAAAACAAAGCATTTTTCTAAGAAAAAAAGAACATACCAAATAAGTTACTTTCTTTTGGGACATCCAAGACACATACTTTCTCAGCTTCTAAGAATTTATTCACTTTTTTATCCTAAGCATTGTATAGTTTCTGCAGAGTGCTGTCACAGACTCACGCTCACAAGCAACAATTCCTTAGGGGAAAAAAAAGTCAAAGGAAGGGTTGCAGTTAGCCCTAAAAACGGTTGGTGTTGTCACTCTATCTTTTCTGGGAGCACCATGTTTTGTTTATCTCCAGCTCTTGTGACAGTTCTATTTCCCATACTCACATGCCTCCTTACTGGCTGATAATTTAATTGCTCCCATAGTATGCAGCAGTCACGGGAGGTCACAGTCATAGACGCAGATGGGAAATTATCTCAGCCAAGCAGCGCTGAGCTCCAGGAGGACCTTTAGATATCAGAACAGCAAGAACTTGACCTAGACTTCACACTGCGGGGCAGGCAGCACAGGGAGCTCAGCAGAGGGGGCACAGGTGATGCGTTCCCAGTGACCTGTGCTGCTAAGTAGACAGCTGCACAGATGGAAATTTTTCAGACCACATGTTAAATCAAAACGCTTTCAAGTATGACTTTTAACTTTACATACTTTATATAAGGATCAGTTTCTCATCCTAAATTAAGAATTAGAGGAAAGTACTGTTTCACTAAAAGTTTGCTTTAACTTACATAAAAATTAACTTGGCATATTGAATACAGAACTTTCCAAAGAGCTGAACACCAACTGTAAAACTTGCCCCGTAAACAAGCAACATTTCTCTGCCCTTTCAAGATTACATATAAAAGTTATTTCTTTATTTCTATAATCAACATGCCTTTACACATACTTATATACAAATCTCTGCATGCTGGGAAGGAAGAAGAAAAAAGATAATGCAGTTCTTGCATCTATTTTTAATTCTTGAGATGCCATCAGAAATTAGTTTTGAGGTTAAGCATTCACACAGACATATAAACCAGAAAAAACCCTTGCCTCCCACAGTCCCCCAGGCCTTAAGAATTCTCTCTGTCCTCAATGAAATGCTCATGTCAGTAACAATTTTTAATCTATCAGTATCTTTAATCCCATTTCAAAGCAAGAATATCAATAAACTTCCCATCCATGCTGCAGCATAGTTACTTTTTGTCCCTAATCACCTCATCTATCCTTCTTTTAAGTACCTCCAGGGATGAGGACTCGACCACCTCCCTGGGCAGCCCATTCCAGAGCCTGACAACCCTCTCTGCAAAGAAATTTTTCCTAATGTCCAACCTAAACCTGCCCTGGCGCAACTTCAAACCATTCCCCATCATCCTATCGTCCATTACCAGGGAGAAGAGGCCGACCCCCACCTCACTACAGCCTACTTTCAAGGCAGTTGTAGAAGGCGATAAGGTCTCCCCTCAGCCTCCTCTTCTCCAGACTAAACAACCCCAGTTCCCTCGGCCTTTCCTTGTAAGACCTGTGCTCCAGACCCCTCACCAGCTTTGTGGCTCTCCTCTGGACAAGTTCCAGCAATGCAACATCTTTCCTGTAGTGAGGGGCCCAAAACTGAACACAGTATTCAAGGTGTGGCCTCACCAGCACCGAGTACAGGGGCACGATCACTTCCCTGCTCCTGCTGGCCACACTATTCCTGATACAAGCCAGGATGCCAGTGGCCTCCTTGGCCCCCCTGGGCACACTGCTGGCTCATGTTCAGCCGGCTGTCAACCAGTACTCCCAGGTCTTTTTCTGCCGGGCAGCTTTCCAGCCACTCTTTGCCCAGCCTGTAGCATTGCATGGGGTTGTTGTGAACCAAGTGCAGGACCTGGCACTTGGCCTTGTTGAACTTCATACAGTTGGCCTCGGCCAACTGTTGTCCTATGGGACAAATAAGCGTATCCAAGTTATTTCTTTCCTGCTCTTGCAAAGTGGATGTCATCTTCAGCAAAAAGACTCTTCCATATAAAGCTTTAATTTTTAGGCCAAGACAAAATAATAGCTACTACTTAGAATAAGAAAATCTCTATTCCCAATTCAAGTCTACTAGATTATTGTCTCACATAACATTCTATACAGCAGCATCCCTTTTCTACATACAATAGGAAAAGCACTGCTGAGCTAAATGATTATTCTGAGAACAAGCATGAACTTTCTTGTTCTCATAATGTAGAGATATTCTCAAAAGGCAGTTACGTACAACTACAAAACAAAAACTAATTAGCCCTTAGAAAAAAAAAAAGAGAGAAGAAAATTTTCCTTTAAACGTTTCCTGTCTTTCTCTCCAAATTGCAATTAAATATGGTCATAATTATCTTGTGAAGTTTTCTGGAAAGACAGGTGAGTAAAGCTTAGCAAGTCTCATTTTCCATTCAGTTTGGACACGCACACAGAAATTTAGGTTGTTAGCTCAGCTCATCTGTACTATTCACATTTCTTATGTCTAAAATTAATATATATATATAACTATTTACTTACATGGTATTGTATCCACTTACAAAAGGATAAATTTAGTATCTGATTTAAAAAGCGCTAACAACTCTTACAGAAGACTGTCATTTTTACACTGAGAAATACTCAAATAAGGCCTTTTCATAATGTGATGCAAGTGTATCAGCATCTGTATCACAGGATCATGTAACACTCAAACTGTGTGAATATACTTTAAAATATTTTTCATGTAGAAGTGATTTAAGTATATTGCTTATGCAATTAAGTATCCACTGTGAAAAGTGTATTTAATATGAGAATACACAAAAAGTCTGGTTTACACTAAAAAGAAAAAGACACTGAGAAGCCACTGCTGCCCAGGTACAAGTTACTGTCATGCTGTCCAGAAGAACGATTCAGTTAGTTACAGATGAAACATAGGCAAAATAGGATCAACTTATGAGGTGTCAAAGGAATGCTTCCTTTATCACTTTGAATGAAAAAGGAACAGATCCTAGTTTCTTCAGTGAAACATATACAGACTAATTTTTACATAAGGTCAAATGCCAGCCAAAAACCTATCCCTAATGTAATGTACAGACCCTCCAATCGTTCCATGACCAGATGAATTCTGTTGGAAAAAGAAGAGCTGGGCTTACTGTGATGTCCAGGAAGGACAGGTTTTACAGTATTCCTGGAGAGTATAGTTTGACCTAATAGGTTTTATACATAAGACTTCTTAAAATAATTTATCTTCACCTTAATTTTAGCTTTGTACATTACTGAGAATATTTGCTTTACATCCTTTTTCAAAATGAAGCTACCTCACAATTTCCCCTACTCTCCACAATATTAATTCTTGCATCTTTTATCTGTCTTTCTAGGAAAAATACTGATAACAAACATGTAGGTAGCGTTCGCATTTTCTGGGAGAACTATATTGCAAGATCTTCTATTTTAATCACTTTTTTAATTTATATTTTGGCCCTTCACCAATATAATTGAAGAAGACAAGTCAGTGAAAGTCGTAAGTTAGCTGAATGAGCACATCTTGAAAGTAATTACAAAATATGCAATCGATCAGGATTAAGGAAGGAAATCTTAAACTCGTTAGACAGAGTCTTTTAAACAACTTGCTTGTAAATTCCCCAAAGCTTCTTCTAAATCATATACTTTTTAGAAATAGCTGCAATCATTTTCCAGTATAGCTATTTAGAAAACAAAAAGTAAAGACTGGAAAGATTTTGAAAGTTCAAATTCCCTATGAAGGAAAAAAGCATAATGGCTGGCATTTTCTGCCTCCTTCAAAATTTAGTGTTGTTTTCTCTGAATTTCAATCTTTCTGCCAATTTTTAAACTACTAATTCTTCCCAAACTAGCACTATTGGCTTTCAAACAGTCTTTTATTACAGAGCTTACACCATGTGCCAGTTTCTAAGGGAGAGTCCGTCTGGCACTACTGATTCCAGCAAGGTTCTCCACAGGTCAGAAGCACTTTACTTGCTTGAAAGACAAGAAAATAGGACCATATTTTCTTTCAGTAAGCGTAACTCTATTCCAATACTTCCCTTTCTTTCCATCACCAGACCCAGATGTCATTTGTGGTTCATTCTTACCCAGGGAAAGTCCACCAGGGGAGACACACTGGTGTGCTAGTTCGAAAATTGCCACTTGTCTCCTAAGCACAGCTACAGAAGCAATTCAACAGGGTTTGCGTAAGACAAGAGTACCTGAGAGTCAACCTGATGCCTTTGAATCAGTAGGTGCTAAGTAACACATGGCAGTGAAGGCAGTGCTTAAGTAGTCCTTGATGGATCTTACAGTCCTTTTGTACCTCAATTAGTGAAAGCTAGTGAAGGATTTTCATGGGAAGTAAATTCCAGAACACAGTAAAACAGTTCATAAAAGCATCTATGAATAAGTGGCAGGACTAATTAAAGTGTAAAAGAAACGTTAGCGTTATCTAACTACTCTTTCTTGTGTTATTGAACTGGGGCCCCATACAATGATGCAAACTAAGACAAAGTCATTAATCATGATCATAAATTAAGAAGACCAGAGACCTGGAAGACAACAGTTTGTGCAGGTAAAATGGCAGCGATAGATGGCCTACGTGCTGACGAGGCATTGTGGCAGAAATATCAACACAAGAGGGAAGGTTAGAGCGAGGAAACAGAGCCTTTGCTAGAACCACACAGAGAACAAACAAGTCACTCACCTGAACATAAAGTTCCCTGAGTTCAAATTGAAATTTCTTGGGATCTGTGGTTATCGTCACTGGACCAATTTCTAGGATGAAAAAAAATTTGAAAGTATGAGGAAACCACAAAGTTATCAAAGGACAACTTCAACTGAAGAGCTAAATGTTTCAGATTCATAAAAATTTGGTAGTAAAAAACCAACTAAATGCATTTAATAGAAAGGAATAATTGAGAATTATATACCCAGCACTGAATCCAAATCTAGTAACTCTGATATCATTCCAGTATTACCAACTTCTAGGTGTCATTTATAAAGCATTCTGTGTTGTGTTTCTTTCACATTTATTTTTGACTAACCATCTAATTCTCTTAGTGATCAGAAGGGAACAAAAATCCCCAAAACAAATGTGGCTGCATGAAAAAATAATGTATTTTTCCAGAAACAGTTGTGTAGGTATGCATGAAGGAGAGGCCTCTCTGAGAAGAATATACATACTAGCTTCACTGAGTGATGTAAAAAAAAATAAATAAATAAAAAAATTGCCACATCTCTTGCCTGAGAGAACATGCACCTTCTTGCTGGAAAAGCCTGGTGCGAGCCCAGTGCCCAACCTCAGTGTATCTAGCAGCAGTCACCAGAAAGAACTGAAGCAGAATCAACTGTATTTGTGGTGTTTGCCACATCTTTGTATATTGAGAAACAGCAGGACATCAAATTGAAGTCGACTGGGCTGTGGACTAGCGTGTGTGAGTAACAGCAGCACATATTTGAGCACTTCCCAACCACACGAGCTGTACCAGAAGCCTCCCCTCTGCCCCTTCAACAATTGCCTTCCTAATTGGTATCAAATGTGACTAACCAGATGTTTTCCTACGGCTGTGATTTCCTGACAGTTTACCTTAATCAGTAATGGCATTCATCTAGCCCAGCAGGCTGGTTCAGGGCGCTAAGCCAAAAATAAATAAATAAATAGACAGGCACAAGAAGAAAAAAAGTTAATAGATTTCTGCTAGTTTGGGGCACTAAACCACTCAAAGAGATCAGCTGAGTATCAGCATACAAAACGGGGTACAATTATGCAGTCAGGGTGAAAGAAAAGCACAGAACCGCAGTGGTGCCAATTTAATACATCTGTAGCCTAGACGGAAGTGCTGCCTCAGCAGACCATACAGCACTTTCCAAGCTCTATAAAAGTTAATGTACTTATCTTCCATTTAATCTAGACATTTTTCTTTTTTAAAACAGTCCAAAGTTTTATTTCACTGGAGTTTCAACAACAGCCATCACTAACATGTACTACAATCACACACATTTGCTTGGGGTCCTCTATTTATCAGTGCCTTTTGCCAAGTGTAGGTTTTAATTTGTTTGAAAGTCACCCAAGAGATCACACAAAACCTATCCTACAATATTCAGCTATCTTCAGTGGTTTTTTTGTATGGCTTTGATTCGAGCCATTTATCTGTGAATGTTATTTACTAAAATGCTACACTATCCTCGAAAGAGCCATTATAAGGACTCGCCGTTCCTCCACATATTTCATCCTGCCATGCTCCCACTCCTACCACACCACCTGGTACCATCCTCCTTTGAGCATTCTTTAAAAGCAAATGCCTGTAATAAAGCCATCTCCAAATTGTTTTGCTTCAAATCTATCCCCTGCCAACCATTGTTCTAAAGCACATAATAGAATGGGTTTTATACATATAGTAAACCCACTAGCTCCATTATTCCCAGTC